TGCTCCCCCCCCCCACCAACAATTTTGTTGTTTTGTGGTGGGGGGGGGGGGGGGGGTGGGAATCAGGACACATCTATAAATCTGTTACTCAGAAACAGACAGGAACTATATTCTGTATTCTTACAGGACAGCAAAACCAGTAATAGATTAAAGAGACTGAATAAAAATCACTCTGCCCACAACTACTCTAAATAAGAATCATTATCAGGGAAACAAACAAACAAACAAGAAAATTGCAAGAAGCATGTTTTCCTCTGTAAATGTTACATTGTATCACTCATTAATATTTTCAGTCTCTGAAAGTATAAGAATACATTTCTTTTTAATAATCGAAAGACACAAACTAATTTAAAAAACAGGCCAAGACAGGGATCCCAAAGATAGTTTATATTTAATTTTAAGAACCTTAGCGTCTAAAAATATTTTAAGAAAACATCATAGAAAGTTTAGAGTCAAGTTTTCAATACAGCTTAACTGACTTAAACCAGAGTCTAGGTGTCTCTGATTTTCATTGGAAGTTTTAATTCCCATACATCTTACAGACTTATAAAGGATGCAGCCTAAAATTTCTTTGAATTATGCACTTTCAACCTTCACAATGTCATTAAAGATATATATAAAAAAAAATTAATATGTGCCTGAAACCCTAACATACATGATAAAGCAAATTACATACCACAGACTCCATATCATGAAGCGTTATTGGTTTTTGGAGCATCATCTTGTAAAAAGGACGAATAAAAAAGGCTTTAAAGAAGAACAAATAAATTGAACAGTATGTAACTTAAAATTCAAAATATGCACAATATTAACCTAAATATCATATTACATAAAATAAATACTAACCATCCAGAAGTTTGCCATGGTAAACAGCCATTCCAGCTACACGACCTATAAACTTGAAATAAGAGAGATGATCTTCATTGCAAAGTCCAGAGTTTGGATTGATCTGCAGAGTATAGTTATCTCTGAAGTTGAGAGAGGGAGCAGGGAAGAGAAAGAAAAACAAAATGTTGTACTATTGGAACAGTCCCACATTTGAAGATCTGAAAGACATCACTGGTTAAATCAGGTATTACTTTTCATGAAGTTGAAAAAATAATCATATTTGGATTAATAAATCACTAATCTAATATTAAACAATACTCAATAGAAGATTCTATTAGCATAGCAGAAATAACAGTTTTGAAACACCACGAACTACCTTTGTAAGTCAGAGATATGCCAAAGAGAAGGGCTTAACTCCTATTAAAGTAGTTAGAATAACATTCTCCGCATTATTTGTTAAATACTGCCTCTTCTGTAAGTAGTAGATGGTTGCAAGCGTATGCTTGTCTATGCAAAGATGACATGGCTTATGTTAGACTGCTGAAAAAAATAATACAGGTATTGTCTCCACATTATTGTTCTGTCAAACAAAGAACTAGGTGCACAAAGTTGCAATTATTAACAACTAAACCCTCCTATACAGTTTGGGGCGGGGGGGCAGTAATTCCATTCTTAAATTACGTATGAGAAATACAATTGATCTGCTTTCCCTAACTAGTCTTCATGTCTTCCAGACCTGTATTACTTACGTAGCTGAGTATTCGAACAATCCATAATAAGGATTAAACATTTCTTTAGAAAGAAGGAAGAACCATTCCCTGGCCACTCCTCCATAGTCTAAACCTTTTTCACCATCAAATTCAATCCAAAGTCTTGCTTTAAGGAAATCTGCTCTCTTTACAGCTATAATTCTTCTATAAGAATCTTCAAGGATTGTTGTGCGATGAATTTTCATTTCAAATCTATTTGGAATATCACTCTAAAAAAAAAAAAAAGAAATATATATATACATTAAAAAACCCCAGAATAATAGAAAAAAACCCAGCATCTTTTAGTCTTGTAGAGTACGCAGATTTTGTAAACAGACAAAGAATGGCACACAAATACTTTTCTTAAATAATTTGGAAACATAACACAATATGATTGACAAGAGGCTCTATTTACATACAATTCAACTAGCATGGAAAGTTTCAGATGCTAAGTTCTATTTCATACCAAGAAAATAGGGTTAAAATAAGTTCTTAGTAGTAACAGCATATGCTCAGTTGTTCTGCATGCAGCAAGGCATGGAATCTTTTTTAACACTGAAAATCCATCATATTATATGCTTGATTTTAAAAACAAAAACAAAAACACCTCGGAGTTTATAAATAAAATTATTTTGCAACAATTTTACCTGACTTATTTCACCTTCTAGTTCAATATTCTAACTATAAGGCTAGGTGTCCCATTCTCTTACTTAAGACATACATGACAAACAAGTATTCCTACAACATTAAAATAAAAATCAGTCCACTTAGAATTTGATGTCACAGGAACAAATCACAAGGTTTATATTTACTATCATGTAGGAAAATACTTAAATAAAAATATCCAAGGAGCTCATATTTGCTGCTGAACTTTCAGAGTAAGCCCCTAATAAACCAGGAATAAAACTTTGCTGAATTAGTAAATCACTATATGAAAACAGAGTATTTTCTTGATTTCACTTGTCTTCAGCCAGTTTATTTCAGCAATTACTTCAGGCAAAATTGAGAAATTCAGTGAAAGTGGGAACAGGAAATTTCAACCCGTGTTGCTCTATGACTAGATTAGGATCATGCAATGAAACTCAATATATGTCAAATTTCAAAAAACTAGTCACACACTGAATAGAAATAATGAATTTTTGAATGCAGAAATATTTAATAAATCAATCTGAAGAGCACATGTTCAGATATGCTTCCTTTTTATTTTCTTATACTCCTTAAATAATCTATCCGAAATGTCCCAAATAAAAAAAAAACCAAAAAACCAACCACCCAGAATGCTGCATTTAAATGTAATGCCTATTTATATCCAACAACAGCTTGATCCAAACTACAAACAAAAAAATAATTACTTGGGGTGGAGGAGCACATTATTTGTCATTTTCCAAGTTGCAAAATACTGTACAATATTATATCTCTAATTTATATGGTGGCTGAAATATACAGGTCTTTTTCATCATTTCAGAAAGCAGTAAATATCCCTAAATTTAAATATATATATATTCATGTTTTTAGTTGCAAATCAAGTTATCAGAAAAAAAAGTTCAAGCAAGAATAAAATCAATTACTAAAAGCAAATGTAGCTGATTAAAATAGTATTCAATAATTAAATCTCAATATAAATCAATCCATTACCCTAATTGTCATATAGGTATTTGTGAATGCTTAAAAGGCAATAGTAACGTATGCTTTAAAATCTACATCTGTACTTAATTCTTAAATTACTACGATTATATTGTGTGGCTGAGCTGTCTATCACTTCTCAGATTAGGATAATGACATTTGAATGAATGCCAAGCTTGTTTGACTAGGAACACAAAAAACGAGGTGCATATATAACTGTGTGCAATTTACACATCAGCTCAAAATGCACAGGTTTCAGAAAAGCTAGAGATAGACTTGGTAGGTAAAAGGTGAAGCACGGGTCTAAACTCAAAGGCTATTATTATATATATCAAATATCTCCCAAGGATAGCAAATTTGATTGCAGTTGTGCAAAGACTCATTGTTATCTGGATATCCAGGCGCTATTTACAGTCTTTTATGCTATGCGTTATAAATATATCTGGCACTGCCACTTCAAACTAGAACTTGCAAATGAGATTCATAAACTTCAGATTTTAAGGCTGTAACAATTTATTACAGTCATCTAGCCTGATAAAGATGACAGTACAGCTTTCTATCTCAACAGTCTAAAATCTATTCTGAGAACTTCTATTTCCATATTCTGAGTTCCAAAAACTATTATATGCTAGATCAGTGATTTCCAAACTTTTCTGTTGCCAGCCTACATCCAGGTTCACAACTGTTTTAACCTTTTAGAATTTCTACTTTTTCAATTAGATTGCTTGCAGTCTTATCACTGCATAAAGTCACAAACCCTGCTATTAGATTAAATGCTAATTGTTACCAAGTCGCTGCTGCACAAATGTATTTGTGATCAGACAGTAAATCTACCTTCATTAAGCAGGTTACAAAGTTCAATTTCCTTTCACTGTAACCTAAGCTTTCCTTTGTTTAGGGGCATAAGTTTCTTAACTTTCTGCTGTATTCCTACTGATTACTAACCTGTTTCTTCAATTTCTTTCTGAAGAACTCATACTTCCGCTTATAGTCCCTGGAGTAAGGCACAGCCTTGGGTGGGGGGGGTAGAAAAAAAGAAAAAGTGCTTGAGATACTCTAACAATAAATGTAATGTAAACTAGTCTATATTTGTGAGACATAGACAATGCATTTAAGTTCTGAAAAAACAGGAATACATGTTTTACTAAGCATCAGCGAAGACTTTCAATTTATAAATATATGGACAGTTCAAAACATCTGGAATGAAAAGTACTTCTTTGTTCAGATCATTTGTTCTGATCAGTTCCATAGAATTTATCCTGTACTTTACTATTAGCTGATGTGACTGACGAAGCTCACTGACTGGCCCAGATCAAAGTGACCAAAATGCCTTTGGTGACTTACATAACGCATAGTCCTTCCTTGCTGTATCATGACAGACCTGGCTACAAACACCTCTGTTTTCCATGGACAGAGAAGGTTGTTTACATATGTGGGCTATTAATAAACACAGGTATCAGTTGAACACTAAAACCCATCTATAATTATAATATGTACCGTCTTCGCAATTAGTCCTGGTAATTTTGCACTTCAGATTAAGTATCAAGGCTAGATAATTATTTTTCAGTTGGAAATGAATTTCATTCTTTTAAAAGTAATTTTTTCTTTTTTTTTTTTCCTTCCTCACCCCCCTCCCCCTTTTTTTTTTTTCCAAGTTTACTTCATTATTTTAGACACTGTGGATAAAAAAAATAAAGTTTCTTACCCACTTCAAATCCCCTCCCAGTCTATAAGGAAACTTTCTTACAGCTATGGGAACTGAGTTTTCTTTCTGGCATTTAAAGACCATTTCCACAGAAAGCTTTCTAAACAGTCTTTAAACAGAAATAAAAATGCCTTGTTCAAACACCCCAGAAGTTTCATCTTCTAGACTGAGTACCCGATAAAATGACAAGAATTTGTTTGGATTCTATTAATAATATTCTTGAAAAATACATAAAGCTACATAAGAAAAGCTTACTGGTCCAGTTATTGCCACATTCTGCAATCGAGGATCCTCCCATTGTGTTTTCTTTGTATCTGCAAGACATTTCTAATTAGTTCCATTAATTTAGATAATGTTCAGAAACAAAAATATGATTGGGGGAGAATACTATACTGTACATACTGTGGTTTATGAAAAATATTCTTCCATCGGTGTGAGTTCTCTCTTCCCACCCTGGCTGTAAGAAGGAAACACTTTTATTATGAATTTCTGACCGTATAGTTTGCATAGAACTCAACGTGATCTGCAGTTGGGGGCATTCCCCCTCTCCATCTACTCTCAGCACTGGAATTTAAAATAGATTATTTTTTGTATGAAAAAAGCAGGCTGCATTTTCTCATGTGCAAGTTTACTTAAATTAGCACTATCAAAATTGTTGTATCTGCAAAACAAGTATAAAGCGGTTTACTTACTGGTAACGGGCCCAGGTCTACTGGATCTAGGGAAGTCTTTCTCCTCAGATGAGCAGAAATTTTCAGTCTTGGATCTTCCTTTGAAAACAAAACAAGCAGCATGTTAAAATCCTTTTGTTGTTTTGTATTGCTTTTAATTCTTTCCTCTTTATTAATGACTGTGTAAAGAATATGCCTAGTACCAACTAGATAATTGTTGTATATTCTGCAGCCGATTAGTTCCTTGGGGATTCTCAGTCCTCCAGTAGTTTACAATCATCTTCTAATGACCTCTCACTTTATTTTTTTTATATATATATTTATATATATATATATATATAGATATAAAATCCCTCATTCAACTCAGCTTTAGTGTAATTGAGTCGAGTTAATCTTTCCACATGGTTTCTGGCACACCGTGTGCTCCTTGGGTTTGGTGGTTGGTTTTTATTGTTGGTTGGTTGGTTTGGGTTTTTTTTGGGGGTAGGGGGAAGGTGTTGGTGTTAAATGAGGTCTTTCCATAATCCTGAAGAAATGAATATTCATTTTGAATCAATTTAATGCATTCTCTGTTTCTCTTTCACCTGACAGTAATACTGACCTACTCTTTAAATGCTTAAGTCCATCTATTAGCACTGCCTAGTGGTGTGCAGTGCCACTCTGTGTAACTGTAGCTGTACAACTCCCTCATCCATATTGTAGCTGCACCTGGCCTGCTTTCTTAAGAATTCACAGAAATTTGTGTTGTGCACTGTACCATATGACAAATTCAAAGTAATGAAGTAATTCAAAGTACCTTCCTGTTGAAGGTAAGTTTACAAAACTGATTTCTGTTAATGGTGCATATAAGCTATCACAGTTTTACAGCTATGACAGAAGTGTCATTTAGGAGATGCTTTACATCTGCGAAACAGATTCCTATATACATCAGTGTTTTCCTCCTTCCAAGCTAAACTTTCAAGTACCAATACAGTTTGTAAAGTTCATATTTGTAAAGTTCATAATGTTCTACTCATGATAGGTATTTTAAATGACTTTGCATTTTTATTACACATGCTCCTTAACAGACATGACACAGCTATCTTGGCACTGAAGAAATCTACAGAAGCTTGCTGAAAGCAGCAAAGCTTTGACTTGAGAGGAACTAGAATTTCAGTCCATGAGAGCAGTTTTCCATTACCCATGTTGTAGTTTTGGTATTGTGGTCAATAAAGAATGGTCTCCCATTGGGTGCATGTCGGACTTCCCAGCCTTTAGGGAGAAATCCTTGCTCCATTTCAGGCTGCTGCTGAGAAGACTGTTGTGATGAATCACTTGATGTTGCTTGTGGTTGTCTTCCTATAGAAATACTTTGCGCAGCTGACAACTGACCTGTTTCCGTAGCAATCTATGGTAAATGACACACACACACACAAAAAAAATCAAAGCCCTGTAGAGCAATATATTTTTTCTATTAACATATTTTTTTGACTCATGAAAGCAGTTTCATAAAGCAAGTGCCAGACAGTACATAGATTTGTTTAGTCTAATATCAACAACATTGACTAACAATCACTGATTATGCTACTGAGGTTAAAAGAAGTCTTTCAGGCTTCTCAGTCAGCTATCACTCTCCAGAAGGCTTTCTTAACAGTAGAGTGACTTGCCATAAATATTACTGTTCCTAACTCTCATTGCATTCTCTCAAGATATTTTACGTAGTGCTTTACCAGTTTGTGCCTTTCGCATGTTCTATTTCAAAGAGGTCTCTAAACTTTACTTCTATTATTTGAGATGTTTAAAAGGTTAAATTAATAAAAACATTAATAATTAGAAGATAGACAGCACCTGTACAACTGGCTTTATCCACGTAGTGGTTCTAGAATTGTGATCTATATAATATGACCTCCCTTTTTCATCTTGTCGTTCTTCCCAGCCTGGGGGTAATCCAGATGAAGTAGGCAGTAACTAAATATTAGTGGTAACAGAAAAAAAACAGTTAAGAAAACTATGAAACTGACTGTGAAAAGGCTTTCCTCTGTCAAATTAAAACCACAAAACAAAACTATAATCCAGAAGGTTCATGATTTTCACAAACTGAATAGAAAAGCAGTATTTAAGTCCTTACTGAATAGTATGATGTGACTTTTTTTTTTTTTAATTCAATCTCCTCATCTAAAAGGATTCATTTATATACCTGGTTTAGGCATGGCTGATCCAGCCTAGTACTTCTGCCTATGAGCTCATAGTTTGCACTGTCACCATGAAAACATAATGTAAGGATGGTGGTACAGCTTTTAATTATAAAAGCAAACAATTTGAAAAATAAACCTCATATCTTCATGGGAAGACTACTTCCTTCTGCGGGCTCTATTCATGCATTAAGCTAATGTTAAACCAAAAACACAAAGTTGGAACACTAAAGCTTTACAACTGAACTCCAATTTTGCTAGACTCATAATTGCAATTTTGTCAGGATGGCTGCCAGAAGCAGAAGGCCAAACCTCATCTAAAATGTCAGCACATAATACATAGTTAAAAAAAAAGTTTTACATGAAGAAAATCCTTCAGCTTCTCTGCCACACAAGCCTGTGTTTTTTGGAAAATGACGTACCACTGGATGTGCAGGCTGCTCTTCAACTCTGTATGTTTGCAGACTACCTCTTCTGCTGGAATGGTTCTTGAAGTAGTGAAGAGGAATGACATTATTAGCTATTATTGCAGCTTTAAGGATGGCAGCAAACAGTCAACAATGGTTATCACACTTTAAGCTATTACAGATTTCATCTTGAACAAAATGTCTTACTTGTTTTGAAACATCGATTTAATATAGTATTTTTGAAACTACTGTTTTAACACTGCTAGAAACATTAAGTTCACAGTGTCTATTACAACCTTAAAACAGAATAATAGAGAGGCTTGTGAAAGTTCTGAAAACCCTAACAATAGATGTTTTGGCACATAAAACATTAGTTAATTGCAACCAGTTACATTACAATTGAATTTACAGTATAGAACTTACTGCGTTATCTTGTCAGTAGACTAAAGCCTGTGATATATCAGATCTAACACAACTTTTCAGAGAGTAGCTTAAGTTAGTAATGACAAGATACGAGAGTCTGAGACATCCAATTTGAGAAGATCAATCAAAAGATTCAATCCCTGGACTTTGCATAAGCATCCACCTTTCTGCCTAGAGCCATATTTAGATGTCATCTGCTACAACTAAGCAACTGTATTTCATCTTGCTCCAGAATTTCCCCCATTATTTGAAGGATTTTTCCCTATCTAGTACCCTTTTAGAATACTTCAAAGAAAAAGCATGATTAAGTTTTTTAATATTTTTGGAAGGGTGATGGAGGTGAAGAGAGGCAAGACTGTCAATTCTAGCCAGCTCTTGCGAAAAATTTGAACATCTGCCTCTTCCTTTGCTTAGGCCACCCAAGCAAGCTGAAATAAGTTTTCTTGCTATCCATAGGATTCTGAATAGCAGAGATGAAGTAAAGTCTTGTTACTCTCACTTTGCTGTTTCCAGCAACACTAGCGATGCCTTTGTACAAACTTAGAAAAAAATAGTAAATTCCAAATTTACATTTGGAATGGCATTCTCAGCATCACAAAAGCTAATTATTTTATTTAAATACCAAAATCTTACAGACTAGATGGTCTGGGTCGCCTCTATAGGCTTTCCTCAATGGACAGTGGATTTCTCAAGTCATATATCAGGTTACAAGGCTGTTTGTGGAGCTCGGGTTTCACAAGACAGCTGAGCTTATTTAATTGCTTGCTACCACCAAAAAGGTAAGTCTCACTCCTGGCTATGTACTCTGCTGCTGCTTCCCCTTTGCCACCATAGTATTTGTCAGACAACCTAGCATGCTGTTTCAGCTTGCTAAAACTGCAAAAAAAACAGAGTTGGGGGAAAAAGAGAATAGTTTTCTGCTGGGTTAGCAAGCTGAACAGACTCACTGAGAGGTCAGACAAGTTTTGTAACTGGCCCAAGGGCTGTGGAACTGTATGAGTGAGGTCCCTTTTTCACTGCTATGGAGTCACCAGGTTTACTCAGCCCAATCATAAAACCTTATCCCAATATTCACAATGAAAAATGAGTTCTCTTAAAACTTGTCCTAGTGGAAAAAGTAACCAATATAGCACAACTCCCTTAAAAATAAGCTTTCAGGATACAGACAGCTTCCTTCATCTGTAGTTTCAGCAGCACTCAGTACGACACTAGAATAAGAGGTAGATGTACAGACGGAAAAATAGTTCATGCAAGTCTGTTTCAATCTCAGGCAGAAATTCATATAAGCAAAGTGGGGAAGAATAAAATGTTTGCATAGATGGAGTTCTACAGTAAAAAGATTAAATTCTCTGCATTTGAGATGAAATTAAAAATGTAATTGTTAATATGAAGTATTTATGGATCTAATTCTATCAGTAGTAACATTTTGTGCAAAATATTATAGGTATTTCTGTACATTAGAACAATGACAAAAATAACTTACAGTGTAGGTTGCTGACTGGCCAGTAGCTGAACTTCCAGAGGTAGTAAGTCTGGTATTCAATTCTTCTGCAAGATGAGTCTGTATATCGCAATTACTCTGAGAGAGAGGTATTTGAAGGTTCTGATTGCTATACATTGTTGCCTCATCTTCAGTTATAATTTCCCAGCTCTTTAAAAAGAAAATAAAGAAAAAACATTTTAAAAAAAAGTAGTTCCAAGTTACAAATAGCTAAGCTTTTTGACTACATTAAAAAGTTACTTGCATTTCAGAAACACTTAAAGATTGTTTTTACCTCAGGGGAATCTCTGTTGTCTGTATTTTCCGTATCCTCTGATATCTGTCGCCGATGAGTGAACACATGCTGGGCCTCCAACTGCACACTACCAATATCTGCAACAGCTACATTGTCCCTATTGCGGGCAGGGGGGGAAGTCAGCATACAGTAGCCATATTTTATCTTTCAACAGTAAGCTAGGCTAACAGCAAAAACATACATTATAGTCATTTTGGCAGAAGAAAAAGAAACAGTCACGAGCTATAAAAACTAATGTAAACTGTTTAAAAAGAATAAGCATTCATGTCAACATGAAGTGTAAGTTAAACTAAAGAACCAGAAAGCATTCCAGGTATTATTTTTGTAATTCACATGCTGGGGGGGGGGATCTGAAAAAAAACCCCAAAGTAAATAATTTAATGCAGTTCCTTCTGGGAAGGAGGAACCAGGCTCAGAGCTGGAAAATAATTTCCCTTCCATTACTATAGTTATTATCTCTTGCAATTGCAACCAGTTTCTATTTGAATGCGTACTTCCAGAGAACAGGAGGAGTACCATGCAGTTAAAATGACCACTAGCCAGTGACCATTACACATGGACTTGAAGGTTAAGCTATGGAAAGCTCTCTATTAATTCTTAAGCTGTTCACTTTCTAGTTCTCCTTGCTTTTAACGTAACTAGAGTGAACTAGTTACACTAGTTAATACAAGACTTGAATTTTCAGGCCAAAAGACATACTGAGCAGTTGGTCTTTTCCACTGTGTTCTTCTGAATTCATGATTGACATAGTAGGTCCTGCCGAGGATGT